GAACAACACAGGGGCTTGCTCTAACCAGTCCATCCGAAATCAATTCCTCGACCTACCATTGCAATCGGACATATTCCTATGGTCAGAATTGGTAAGCCAGCTGGTGTGGGATACCATCTCCTGGAATGAATTCAACCACATGTACATCTCGCAGGTGTGGAAGACCGGCAGGAATGTCTTTTGTAAAGACATTTTTGAGTTGTTGCAACATAGGCCATACATCTTTTGAAATTTATACAACCATCAAGACCTTTGTGGAAGGTCACCTGCTCTCCTTGTCTCTGCTTCTTATTACCATCGGTATGGCCTAACACTGCGTCTTGAGTCTTGGGATTTTTGCAACCAATTTGTTGGTATCAACCATGGACTGATTTCTAGTTCAAATTTTTACCATGTTGGAGCTTTGCTTCCTATATGTTAGGTCTAATGCATAGAAATATCTAATCTACCTTGTTTGCAGTTTAAAGATTTTTTTTAAAACCTAGTAAAGTGTCCTTGGGATTTTAGCCAAATTTGTTGGTCAAGGTACACCAAGAGGGATATGAATTGGGTCTACAATGGAGTACTTTGATGTTAGAGAGATTCAAAACCAAGAATTTGATGTTTTTTCACCATATTTTTATGTTTTCAATTTAATGCTAGCACCCTTATATTTGAATGCACAAGTGTTTGTTTTGTAATAATATAGCTTAAAGTTCAGGTTGACCTACCAGAATACTAACAACATTCATGGGAAGTACGTAACAACATATTATATCAAAAGTGGCTATCCAATCGATATTATTTTGTCACATATTATATCAAAATAGCTACCCAATAAGACATTGTTAACACATAATTTGAAAGGACTTGGATGTATTCAGCCTTATGATTGCTAGTCAAGGTAGCTTTAGATATCCTGTTTATAGTACTTCCAACATCTATGAATCACTGTATCTTCTATTATTTCCTGACTCATATACGTGGAAGATATGAGTTCTCTTCCAATTTTCACCAACATGGGAACAAGCAAGCATAAATCTTACGACGGTTGAATCATCAAGTCTAACTGCTCATATCCTAAATATGATTAATAATCTTTTACATCCTCATGTGGATCACCACTTAAACAATACTCAAACCTAAAGTACTCGAGCTCTATGTTACGACTCGGCCCAGAAGCTTAAATTAATGAGGTGTGAATAGCTTTTAATAATAATAATAATAATAATAATAATTCAATAAACTAAAGTGAAAAAAATCAAAATGGTTCCTTAATTCTTCATGAAGGACCTTTGGTCCCTCGAGTTTTTAAGAATGAACTAAAATAGTCTTATAGTGGGGCTATTTTAGTTCCTCTTTAAAGAGTTGAATGATCAAAAGGATATTTTAATATAGTTAGGGGTCATTTTGGTCCTTCATAAAGAATCAATGGATCATTTTAGTCACTTTCTCATAGACTAAATATCCAAATTTAACTGAAGAGCTATTAAAATATTTTTCAGTCTAAATATATAGTAAAATAGATCTTTTTATTTTCATTTGATCATCTTCTTCTATATACAAAATCTTATCAGTCAATCATTTAATCAGCATGAGATTTACCTGAAAATTTTAATTTAATAATTTGAGATTCAATAACAAACTCAGTGGTTATAGAATAGTAATAAAAAATGCATATAAATAATCATACACATATATTAAACTTTTCACTTAACATACATTTAATATAAATATAAATACTATAATTTATTGATGGTAAAGAAACATCAACATCAAGCCTTTATCGTGCTACATGGGGTAAATTGATTGATAAAATATTCTTCAATTTTTTTTTAAATTTATTCTTTCAACAGTTAATTTATTATAGGAACACCATCTAAATAGTACCAATTAAGATATTTTTATTTTCATTTTTTTTTTCATTTATCGAGCACGGATACATTGCGTCTTCAACTGGTATCATAAGAGGATGAATTCCTATATTTGCATGTATATGCCTTTTTTATTTTTTTTAATATTACATTTCCATATTATAATTCATTGTAGTCATTTTTTTTTATTACATATCAATCTACATAAGCAGTTTTCACATTTATATACACCATTGTGTAACTTTGATTGTTTAGTTTTCTTAATTTGATGCATCATAAATACTTTAAAATTTAACAAGTACACATGCATGATACATTATCAAATAATTGTATTAAAATTATAATAAAAATATAATTGCTATAAAATAAAGCATCTTTTCGTGTGCTGGAACCCTTCCAAAATAAAGAACACAGTTATGTAAATCCACACAATTATTTTAGAATCATATCTTAATTACTTCAAATTAAATCTGCATTAACATATTTAACTCTTACCTAATGTTTCTTTGAGAACCTTAGCTTGATTACGATATTTCATCACAAGTCACAACTCAACAATTAAATATTTTTTCACTATTTAAAAATAATATTTATTTGCATTAAATATTGCTGGACTAAATTCTGAAGAAGTCAAATGTTGTCAAAGTAGTGTCGAACAAATTAGACGTTGTTAAAGACAATTTCAAATGCATCGGATATCATTAAAACAAAGAATGTTTCTAATTTATTACTCCATAATTATAATTACATCATCTATTTTTAATCTCTAAAATAATTGAAATTAAATATCCTTAAATTAAAATTAATTTTCTTTCCTCCTCTTGGAGTTGAGATTTTCAGCAACTGTTTCAATAAAAAAAAATTAAAAAATATTTATTTCTTTCTTTTCTAAGTTTGAATAGAAAAGAAGAAAAATTTAAATCACTTACACTTTCCCCCTGTGGACGAAATGGAGACTAACAAGCTCATCTTTCTCCTTCTTCCTCTGGTTAAACTTTCTTCTTTTTCTTCCTCCTCTCGTTGAACACAGAGCTTTCAACAAACATCAACAGTAAACAACTCTCCTCAAACTTTTCTCTTTCACAATATATCTCTCCCCCCCACCCCCGCGTGCACGAAACTCCTCTCTTCCTCTTCTTCAGCTTCGCTCAACTGAATGAAATCAACTTATTCCTTGCAAGGAGTTGCATATGTCAGCTTGTTATCATCCCCGACCCCTCGCTCGCTGCTTTGCTCGCCGGCTTGCTGGCCCGTTGTTTCTTTTGCTTGACTTCTGTATCGAGAAAAAAATAAGGTGCCGATTTGATTGAACAGGTCTAAAACAGCCGCTTATTACATTCCCGAACATAATAAGGGAGTTGGGGTGCAATTTGATCTGTTTGATTATATATCTTGGTCTATTAGAATTTCTAACAGATGGTATCTCTTCTCCCTAAGAGAAATAGCAATAATTTTAGGAAAATGTTATGCTTATCTAATATTATGCCTAAATTGTGCATGCGTGGCAAAACCAGGATCTAGGAGGGGGTCCTAGAACTGATCTGGTCATCTTTTACCTTTCTTCTTAGGTATTTTTCAATTTCTATGGATTTTTATGTATCTTATAGTGTACTATTTTGGTACGGTTTTACTTCAATCTTTATTTCAAAGTACAAACTTTTTTGAATTTAATTTTATCACCAAATCTTCTTCCCTTCAAATCACAAGCTCTTCAAATTTATTTAAATATTCAATCAAAATGAGATAATGTGGTGTAAATTGTTGATACCAAACAAACATACTTATTTTTGTTTCAACCTAATAGGGACCATTATGATTATGATTATTAGCCACAAGTTGACTATGGCCATGGTCATATTTGACAAGATCATTTCTAGGCAGCTTATAAGAAAGATAATGCGTTTTCTTTGGAAAAATATTAGTTAAGTTCTTGGAGATTTTTGTTCAAGGATCCAATCTAAGTGCACTTTGAAGAGTTTTAATTTATGTTATCAATAGATATAAATCTAGAAATGATAACATAAGTTAGATTTTGTTAGTAGGTGGCTAATTAGTTGTAATGTTAGAAGTTGGCCTCTTAAAGAGGATTGTTCCCTATTATTATTTAGAGTGCTCATTCTCTTCAGTTTCTCAATTTTTTTTTTAAGACTATGAACTGTTGCAACTATATTGATTTCTCACGGATGCGTGTCTATGTCTCTAATCTGGTAAAAATATATTTATTTTAGATTCCACAGGCACTACATAGTGTAGCCTTTTTTGTTTTTTCATTTATATGCTCTTTTAGCTGTTTACCAGTAAGCTATATGATGCAGATGATTTAACAGCATATGATGCAAAGAATGCACAAACTTATGTTAGCTATAAGAAAAAAGAAAATCTAGTGTGCAATTTTCTGATATTCCCATGTTGAGATATTATGCAAATTATTTTACAAATTTTGAAAATAGTAACATTTATCAACAAAAATTTTCTCTTTTTTTTTTTTTTTAATGAAGTTAATTTCATAACATGCTTAATTATTTTATGTAATTTATTTGTAGGATAATTGATTTCTTTTTTTTTTTTGTACATGTAATATATTTAGGATTAAGATTAGGATTTTTTATTTTTATTTTTCTTATAGCTATGGATGGAAGGGAAACTGGTATGAATTATGTTGGGTGGATGATGGTTTATAGATAAGGACAAGAGTGTGGAAATGTTAATGGTGAAGGACAAATTGATTCGCTCAAATACTAATGGATTGACGTGTTGATGGAGGGGATCTTCTTCTTGATATTCATGTCTTAAATTTGTTGTGCTCTCCCTTGAATTCAATATCTGATTGAGAGAGGATTGATATAGCCTTGCAGAATTCCTCACTGAATAGTTAATTTTCTGTTTATGCTACAACCTTTTTTTTTTTGCATAATGAAATAGTGTGGTGAAGTTTTTAATACCAACGTGTCTATAATATGGATCAATTGGAAGTAAGGCAACAACTGATATTGTATGAATTGGAAGTAAGCCAACAAATGAAAATTTTCGTTGGTCAACTTCTTAAAATTACTGATTCCTATATCAATTTTCTGCCTATGGCTGCTATTTGGCTTACACAAACCATTTTAAGCATGCTTTAATAGATACTAAGCTTGTTTTTTGCAGCTCCCGTTGTCTCCATTTCAGAGAATTGCTGAGTCTCCACAAACCCACCAGTTGTGGGTAAACGACCCTCGGAGCCCTTCAGAATTTTCTGCCAATAAGGGGATTCCCACTTTGATAACATGGTATCATGGGGGAAATGATGTTGCATTGGAAGGTTCATGGGACAACTGGTCTTCTAGGTATGGAAGGAAACATTCATAGTTGTTTTGGTCCCAAATAATGTATAAATATCAGATACAATCCGCAGGAAAGCGTTGCACAGATCTGGAAAAGATCACTGTATCCTGCTGGTACTCTCCTCAGGAATATATCACTACAAGTTCATCGTAGACGGAGAATGGAAGTTCATTCCAGAACTTCCTCACATGACTGATTTCACAGGGCGTACAGCGAACATCCTTCAAGTTACTGTGAGTGCCCCTTCTCAAATTCATGATTGTAGCATAGAAAAGTCCACTTCTTTTCTTACGTTCTTGTTGGATTGGTGGTGCAAGGAATATGTTCCTGAGAATCTAGAGAGCATTTCTGAATTTGAAGCTCCTGCATCACCAGAATCTAGCTACGGGAGGATACTTCCGGTAGATGATGACTTTGCTAAGGAACCTCCAGCCTTACCCCCTCAGCTTCCTCTCATACTACCAGGTTCGAAGAACTTGGAGTTGGACTCGTCATCCAGGAAAGAACATCATGTAGAGCTCAACCATCTCTTCGTTGAAAAGGGGTGGGCTTCACAGTCACTTGTCGCTCTTAATTTTACCCACAGATTCCATTCCAAGTATGTGACCGTTGCTCTCTACAAGCCTCTTTAACAATTAGCAAGGCGACCTTTCTTGCGAGCCTCTTGTATAGGTCAGTAAAAGTCCCATATGTAAAGTTTGGCAACTCTCGTAGAGATGAAAGGAAAGCAGAAATCTTTCCTTATGTGCATGATGTCCTTCGTTTTCCGTTTCTGTTTTTTCAATGTGTATTGCTTTCTATCTAGAAATGAAAAAGATTTTAGAATGATAAGGTCATAAATTATAAGCTGCAAATATAATTTTAACCTTGTGATGAGAAGAGGACGGTTTTACTGTGGTAAAGATATGACCGTTGCAGGTGAGATTTTCGTAAATCGTAATGGAGTTTGGATGGCCTCTCAAGAAAAGGAACTTTTATTTGGTCCGGTGTAAGGATGCAGAGGAACATCCGGTTATAGGCAAAATCTCGCCTATACCGAGGTGTACCGAGTTTTTTCAAAAAAACTCAGTACACTCGTTATAGGCGGGATTTTGCCTACAACTGGATGTTCCTCTGCATCCGGTCGGAGGACGTAATAATTGTTCCAAGAAAAGAGGGAATTTTTATTCTCGTGATGGAGCTCTCGAGTCCACTAAAATTGAGCCACGTGGATCCCGACGATTCCATCATTTCTATTTAGCACGTTTTTCCTACTTACCGTGCGGCCCGACGATCCGATCCCAACTGATGCAAAAAATAATGAATTTTTTCCGCTTAGGCTAATAAATAATGAATAATTTACCAAATCCTGCAACCCAATAGAATTGGGGATCAAATGTTTGCCGGTCTCTTGGATTGAATCTCATTACCTCGATCTGGTCCGTCTTGAAGCCAACATTCGGCTATTGTACTAAGTCTTCCTAATGGCAAAAGGCTATATCCAATAGTGAGTATATAATTGGAAGATATGTTCTCCCCAACATGAAGATGATTGTTGCTACGAAAGATTGACTAAAGATCACTTACAATAATTTGGATGCATTATTAAAAGAAATAAAACAAGACTAATTCATAGATATAAAGAAACAAACAGCTAGCATTCAAAAGATAGAAGCAATAAATCAAAGAAGTGTGATTAATCTTGTAATTTGGTTACAAAACATCAGCAATAATTTCTACTTGGGGAAGGTTAAATGAAGCTTGGGAGGCATGAACCAGGAGGGTGGTGGCCAAATTACTTGTTGATCAGAATCCGGAGGGAAAAATCTCTCTATAGTCTCATTCTTGATGTCATAAACACCAACATCCCATGCCTTCCTTTGTTGAACCAAATCACATAGTCCATAAGAATCATCAGTGAAATAAACACAATTCGGTCTCAATTCAGAATTCTCTGAAATAGAAACAACCAACGTATGATTACAACCAATAAATAATGAATAATTTCCTATGTCTTGCACTTTATCCCAGCAGGATAGAGGATCATATGTGTCATCCGGTCCTGATCTGAATCTCATTACCTCGATATGTTGTGTTTCTACGCCAACGATTGGACTATTGTATTCATCTTCACATCCGGTACCTTTGGCCGTGTAAGACTTTGATGTTCTCTGGATTTGAAGCAACTCGCCGTCCAAGAAAACAAGATATTTGATCGATATATCTTGTATGTGGATATTCAAAGGTGAAATACATATTTTGGGTATTGGTGAAATAAATAATAAGGGTCTTGGCCCTAATGGAGGATATATTCTGAAGTTAGGGAGGTCGTAACCGATTACGGATCCATCTTTGGCCACAACGTAGAGGAGTTGATCCTCGTGGCAGTAGACGGCGTCCATGAAAGCCCCAAACCCTGGAAATCTCTCAACACGGACCCAACGAGGATCTTCAGGTCGGGCCAAAGCCATGCAACCATCTGAGAAGTAAAAGGCGACGGCCACGACATTGGGTGGATCGACGTCAGTTATGCACATGTGATTTGGTGGAGCGTCAGTTATGATTACCCTCCGAATAAACGCGTCGCGGAAGATGTTTGCCGGATATGAAATTTGGGTCATGTTACTCCTGTAGTTGACGAACTCCAAAATAATGCCGTCGGATCCATCCCTGATGGCTTCTATGTTGGTGGAGATGTTGAGAAGGGATGGGAGGCGGAACTCCTTGTGGGTGAGAGGGTTCAAAATGCGGGGCTGAAGCGCTAGGTCTAGTGTAACCAACCAGCCACCGTCGGGAGATGATCCGACGCAGCGCCGTCCGACCATCTCAGGCAGAAAAGATATGATTCCCTTGTCTAATTTGTTTATGATCTGGAATTATAAATAGTCGGCTTTCTCTTTGTGTTTGTTAGGAAGGAGCAACCACGGCATGGAGTTATCCACATGTACTAGGGGGTTTGGCGGCCGTGGTGGGTAACCCCTCAACGGTCGTCCGAGAATCCAAGCCCAGTGACTGCAGACGGCAGAAACGCAAGCTCTGTTTTTTATGTGGAGTTGCTCGACTACCATAAGTAGGAGCTCAGGCAATAAAGTCGACCACTTTGGCACAGGCAAAGATGACATTTTCTCTGTTGGAACTTTCACCGGACCTAATGTAAACAATAATAACAGAGGGGGAGGAGGATGAAGGATACCTTTGTGAGAGCAGAGAGGATCAGCTTCAGCAATCAGATGGCTGGAGCAGAATGTTTCGGGCTGCACGGCGTGAGGAGGAAGCGTCGAGAGAGAGTGCGGGAGAATAGCGAAAGAAAGCCTCACCTTGTTCTTACTTAACGACGCGGGCAGATGGCAAAGATCGCGGGCGAGGAGGAAGAGCCAAGTGGGACGTACGTAGAACAACTTAGGACCTCCTAACTCAGGCGGAGGCAGTTACCTTGAGCCAACTGCTTACTTAAAAAAGAGAGAGACATTTAGGCCTCGTTTGGTATCTGCCCTCCTTCTAAGTTGGTAATGTAACAGTTAATGAAGAAACAACGGTATGGAAGACGGAATAAGCAGTATTCTTCCGCCTTTTCAGATATGCAAAAATAGGCCGTTCTAAACAAATGTATTTTACAGAAGTAGTATTATCAAACAGAAAACTGCAACTATTTTTACCGATTAGAACTGGAAACGGCATAAAAACACTCTCAAACGAGGCCTTAGGCCATTTAAGGCAAGCTAACACACACAACACATATACACAGACTCGAATCAAAGACCTAAAACGGAGTTTCATTAATGATATATTGTTTGAGTAACAGCTCATTTTGTTGGTTAAGATTTTTGAAAAAATTTTAAGTCGTTGTGGAGAAAATAGGATTTCAGGAATAATGTTTTATATAATGGAGTTATTAGATAATGTTATTTGGTTAAATTATTTTTTATATGCTTATTCAAACTTTAAACTGAATAATTAGTATTTGATACAATTAACAATTTTAGTTTTTTTTTTTTAATCAGAAATGCCGAAACTACTCATATATTGAATTCAAATATACTTAATATTTTTTTTTTTTAATTTTTTACATAAATGAAAATATACATATAATTTTAAGAAAGTTTTTTTCTATTATCATAGATTTTGACATTTATAAGCAAATTAGGAAAAATTCAAAAAATATCAGCACTTTTGTTGAAGGAAATTAAACTTTTAGTACAATCCATTCATCAATGCAAATGGTGGTGTTCTTAGCCGAGGGATTGATGTGCACAAGCTCATATCTCTACAGTTTACGCTATTTTTTCCATTTGAATCAAATCATCAAAGACATATAACTTTGCCTGAAGGAGGGAGAGGAAACATTTTCAAAACTTATCATATTCTGCATGATTACAATGAACCTGATAACAATATGAATGGTTTTGTTTCCTTCATATAAGCACAGAAATCCTTTGAGGCTCTGAAAATTTTCATCTTTAAAAAAAGTTGTTTTTTTTCTTCTTTTTTATAACATAAGATATCAAACTTTTTTCATAGAGTAAAAATCCCTGTTTCTTAGTTACATTAGCAATCCATCAAAGAAAGATCAAAATACATAAATCTCATATTGAAAGAAAAAGGTCAAATAACCACTGTTGTTGATATATCCTCGAAAAATTATTTTGACTGAGCATGAATCTTGAGGCAAAAATCGAGTTGGAAACTTCAAAAATTAAAATTGGGATCCTCTGAACTTTGAATTCAGCAAACTTATAATTGAACTGATCGTCTCGGAAAGACGAACCCAACGACACCAAATTCGACTCAATCCGAGCTCAAATGGGTCCAAATCAAGGACCCAAAGCGTGTGGGTCTCCGAAAGGGTTCCGCTCGTGTGGTTCGAATGCAAAGGGTACGATCACACTGTCCCGTAGGACAAAATGGTCGTAAGCCTTTACACTCGGCACAAGCAGGCCGATGGAAGAGCAGATGGAGTTATAGATACGATTAGCCATGGAGGATAGCGGCTTTCACCTACGCACCTCGATGGATAATAATATCTATAACCCTAAATTCACGAGATTTCCCCCATTCGATGCATCAGCTCGAATAGGGTTTATTTGATTGTGGGGATCGGTTTCCTACGGGCGCAAGCCCCCGTAGTTAATTACATCTTAGACCTTGGTCTAAGAAAACTCTCGATTAAAAATGTTAGATTATCTCCTCTAATGGGTTTAGTGCAAGGGGTTTCTAGGCTTTCCTAATCAAAGAGGAAGAAGGTCCCAACTTGGCTCAATCAATCACACAGGGTTCAGTCAACATTCGGCCAGCTAGAAGAAGTGAAAACTGGAGAAAAAGGAAGGACAACGCATTCAAACATGCACGAGAGAAAGAGGGAGGTGGCGTCATCTGTGTGACGCGGATGGGTAGGATTTATAGCTTCCGAAAGGATGGAGAGCTTACCCACCAATAAGGTGTATAGTGGTACACCTGTACCACTCACCTTTAGATCCTAAATCTATAAGAGGTGTAATATCGTACATACGACATTAACGCCTACGACCTAACTAATGCAGTCTGGACTTATTCCTTGCCTGAAAAAGGAAGCCAGCTAAAATCCTAAGCACAACCAATCGCCCTATATGTATGCAAGATGGGAAGGCTCTATCTTAAGGATTCAAGGATTAATAGTTCAAAAGACTCAAATCAACGACTCTACAATATGCGGACGAATAGACCTATCGTTGTATGATGCATGAAAAGATACATAAATAAGAGATGTCCTTAGGTCCACTAATGCAATGCATGCATGTAAGGTGCATTGTGGAGAAAAGTGTGTAAGAACAGATGTGTGCATGACATCCAGAGTACAGAAAAAGTAAATAAACACACCCTAAGGGTACCCTCCAGGCAAGGTACCCGCACAGAAAATCATCATAGTCATGCCCACTTCGTGTGGGAAAACAGCGATGCCCAATGGCATAAGTAGGTGGCCTACTCTACAGGCCTAAATGACCCTAATGGTCTCTAAGGCTCACAGAAAAAAGGTGGAAGGGAGATTTCGATCCCCTCCTTGGGACCGATTCGGCAAGAGGAAATAAGGAGAACCGACCAGTCGTGGGAGACGGGCTGTGCGAAATCCAGAAAGAGAGAGAGTCGGAAGGGGAGAAGGGGGTTTTGGAACCGAGAGAGTGACGGAGAGCCCGGGGAAGCGGGTTTCGCCTGAGACTGCTTCCGAACGAGAACTAGAGAGATCAGGCGTCCGTTAGGGAAAGACCGTCCGAGAAGGACTTCTCCTCCGTCTGCCAATGGAAGAACCCCAGAGAGCCCCCCACGTGAATCTGGAATCATGCCACTGAATACTGCCGCAACGGTCGAATACAGATTTTGGGGGAAATAGGAGTCTTTCGATGCGACTACCAGATTTAGGAGATGATTCAAATTAAGCCAAAAGTAGATTGGAATTTATTTAGGATTAATTTGGGTTGATTTGAGTTGGGTTTGGATGCAAACTTGGCTCAAATCGGCTCGATTTAAAATCAGACTAAGTTCGATCGATTTGATCAAACCAAATTGAACTCAAATTGAAATCAATTCGGGTCAAATTGAGCTCATCGCAGTCAAAATAAATTATTCGGGCTTGATCGAACATGACCGAATCTAATTTGAATCGATTCGGATCGACTTGAGTGCGAATTGGGCTCGACGGGGTCTAATCGAGTTGATCGAAAAATGCTCGAGCGAAAATAGAGGTCAACAAAGCGCTGTTGGAAGGTTCGAACCACAATTTGATTTACTAAACGGTTTCCAAACATGACGTGCTTATAGTTGAATCAAGAGGCTCGACGAGACGAATCCAACGAGCCCAAGATAGCCAAATTTCAACATCATTAAGACCTTCAAATGTCTGATGAATGGTCCACAATCAAGGGATTCAATATCGCCCGTCCATTCAAACCACTCCCGATTCACTCCTGATCTCTCACCTATTTACAGGCCATGCCACTCAACAAATCTATAAATACACCCCCTCATTTCTCATGAGGGGAGGGGGGTAGGGAGCCAGGGCCCAAGACAGAACAAGAACAAGAAGAAGAGAATGATAAGAGGGAAGAAACTCCTCCTCGACCACCACCGCCGGGATTCTGCTCGACGCCGGAATTTCACCTGACGCCAGAATTCTGCCCGACGCCAGAATTCTGTCTAATGTTCAAGCAACGTCGGAGTTCTTCCTGACGTTCAAGCAACACCAGAATTCCGCTCGACTTCCAAGTGACGCCGGAATTCCGCCCAACCTCCAAGTGACGTCAGAATTCCGCCTGATCTTCAAGTGACTTTGGAGTTTTGCCCAAATACTTTATAACGCTGGAGTTCTCCCCGGCCGCCGACTAACGTCAGACTTCTACCCGATGACGGACCTCCGCTTGTTGCCAAATTTTACGCGACACTGGACTTCAAATTATTGTCGGACTTTCACCAGACATCTATCTGATGTTGAATTTCAGTCCATTGATGGACTTTTACTAGATACAATCCTTCCGACCTTTGTCACCCGCCGACTACAGTCCTTCTGACCTCCGTTGCCCGCCGAATACAGTCCTCTTGACTTACGTCGCCCATTGACTACAGTCCTTCCGACCTCCGTCGCCACCCGATTACGGTCCTTCAGACTTACGCCGCCCGCCGACTACAGTCTTTCCGATCTTCGTCGCCCGCCGACTACGGTCCTTCCGACCTCTGTCGCCAGCTGATTACGGTCCTCCTGACTTACGTCACCCACCGACTACGGTCCTTCCGACCTCCGTTGCCAGCCGACTATAGTCTTCCTGACTTACGTCGCCCACCGACTATAGTCCTTCCGACC